AATGAATCAATTCCTCCTTCATGAAGGCAATATATTCTTTCTGAAATAATGGGATCAACAAACATTGATAAAACAGAACTGCTTTTTCTGGGCAGAGCTAAATCCACAATAGCCAACCTCAGAAGAGGAGGTGGATGCCCCAACCATAAAGTATGATCTGGTGGCACATCAAGCTTCAAAATGGAGGTGTCACTTGACAATGACTCGCAAATCATTGCAAGCCCAACTATACTATCAGTTGAATCCAGACATACCCGAGGTGGACTACTAACCTTCCAGACAGGCTGCACTTCATCAGCTAAAGCATCTATCCGCAACTGCCCCCTACTCCAAGCAGTTACTAGGATAGAATCTTTGCTAACTAAATCATAAAGAAAACTGACAGCACGCCCTTCAAAAACTGGAGGATGAACTGAGTCATCTTCAACACCATGACTTACTTTACTTAAAGGTCCCTGCAAGTGAAGCCAGTGTTACAACATAAGGTGTTACATAGTTGGAAAGAGAATCAAGCAAGCTATCTCTTCCAGAAAACAGTTCCATTATATAACCAAAATATAAGCCAGCACACAAAAGTGTTTTGCACTGACAGAAAATAACCTCTTTTCCTTCATAAAGAGAAACAAGAATAGCTGTGCAGCTTAACTTAGATGTCACCGTGTAAAATTGCAATTTCACGTACACTTTCTCCACTTCAAGAAACAGAAAAAAGGAGAATGCAGTGCTCATCTAATCAAAGCTTGTAGTGGTATTTGTTTCAGCATAAAAAGGATAAGAAAGAAAACTGGAATGAGGCCCCTCTGCACACATAAATGGAAGTTCAGCGGATTTCTATCTGAGGAGATGCATGGAAGAGAAAATAGAGTTATTTATGTTGAAATAAGTCTCAATTGGTTTCACCATGTTTTCCACCACAACTTATAGTCTAAAATTTGTTCAAGTCTGGACTCCTTCACCAATACACAAGTTTTTTTTTTGAGAAGGCAACAGTCTTGTATTATATTCCACGAAATCAAACCTGCCACAACCTGTTACAAGTAACTAAGACAGAATAAGAGTTTCTCATCCAACAAGACAAGAAGTTGGGCAAAAAATTCAATGCACTAGGTAATAAGGACAGACGGGAAAGACTTTCTACTGTATCTTTCTTCTTCCTAGTGCGATCCAGTCGAAAATCAAATGTCAATATATTTGTCATCCGTGTACGTTCAATTGAAGGGTAGATAACTATTTTGTTATCTTCTCTTACATGCATCAATACAATAGATCTTCTGATTATTAAAAATATTACAACTTGCAACATTTTATACTGCCATGTTACTATCATTGTTTATCCCAAATTTAGAAAGGGGGCAGGCACATAGAAGACTTCTTCCTTCATATTTTGAAACTCAAATTAATGTTGGTTTCTGAAGAAGTTCAAGGTAAATGGTGCCGATGAAGCCCATCTAATGACTGCTATATCTATCTAACATGCATGGTAAACACAACAATAATATTGAAAAAAAAATTAGGTTTGATTGTGTTAATTAATTAGCACAACTTTAGGAAACTTTATTTTTCCTTTTCCTAGCGTAAGTATAGGAATAGAATATTTTCTTTTATTGAATTTGACTTCTTTCCTTAATTAGTTAGGATTCATTTACGTAAAACCCTTCTCATACAACAATATGATATACTGAAATACAAAGAAGCCTTTTCTTCTTACTCAAATTCAACATGGTATCAAAGTCCTTGCTGCCTTTTGAGGTGTGTTTCTCCCTCCCAGCAAAAAACAAAAAACAAAAAAAGGGAGGGGGTGTCACCAATGACTACTCCCTATTGTTTTAGAGATTACTTGCTTCTTGTTAATTTCATGCTTACCCACCAAGTTTCAGATTTTTCTGATAACCAGAGTTAGATTCCATCAAAGCAGAGCTGGTTTTCCGACGAGACTGATCTATGCAATGGTTTTCTTTGGTTTTTCTTCTTCTGTGGGGGACACAAAGCAATAGATAATAATTCTCTTACAAAAACCAATACTATGAAATTATATGAGGCGTATCGTGATTAGTCAAGGTCTTGTTTGCTCTATATTAAATTTAGAAAATTGCTTTGGTTATATTAATGGCGAGCAGAACCAACCTACTGCATTTGATAATGATTTATGGGATTCCAATAATTCACTTGTTAGGACATAACTTTCAAATACTATACACCTACAAATCTCTAAGCAATATTCATTGGGACAGGGAGTAATAGATTTTTAGGAAATTACGGTATATAAAGAATGGGTGGTAATGTAATATCAGCCTATTAGGTGTACAGACAATCGAATACGTTCCAAAGGCAGTGGTTAGAAAGCCATTAGCTATTCCGACATAAATCCCTTTGTGACTAGAAGAGTAGTTTTGTAAGACTTTAGAAGAGCCTGTCATGTGTCAATAAGCACCAAACTCAACGATTGAAGAACCGAGGTGAGCAGTACAAGGAACTAGTTACATATATTAGATGTGGCACACTTTGAATACTATGCACCCCCAAATCGCTAAGCAATTTATGCCGTACACTTTTGATACTTGCTTTCAGTCATTTCATAAGATGATGATTAGTACTTAATTTGAGGCTAAGAAAAAAATCTTGCAAACTAGCAATGGCATAGATACATGGAAAAAGATTTGGTGCTTATTTAGAGTTTAATGGGATAATCCGTCAAACTTAGTCCCTATTCTAGTGCACAAAATATGACTGAAGAAAATTAGGCATGTATTAGAAGTGACAAGATCTCTTATGTTTACCATGACTCTACCAAAAAACCTACTAGGGGATGTCCTTCTAGTTGTCAACAGAATGCAACTTAATACCCTTTGGGGTCGTTCGGTAGGGAGTATTAAGAGAAACAATCTACGTATTATGTATGGTATTATTTAGTACTATATTTGGTAGGCACTGTGGGCCCATGTATAACTAATGCATGCACCCTACATGGTATTATATGATGTATTACTAATACCTTCCATTTGGTGGTATGAGTAATACATATGATTTAATACCATGGGATTACCATAGTAAAGACAAAAGTATCCTCAAATCATTTTAATCATTTGTTTATTTTCTTGATTTTATATTTTATATTTGTACTACTAAATTTATTTAAATAAATTATCTTGCAAATTTCATTAATTAAAGAGTTGTTTGTTGCTAAATAAATCCAAAATGAATCAATATAATATTTGAAATGTGAGTTGTTTATCATTTACTAATAATAAAGTAAAATATATCACCACATGACGTTTGTGACTTGAATGTATTTTTGTTGATATATATATATATGTGGTTTTCTAATTATTTGTATTTTGAACAATTTATAAAATTGCATACTTATTAAAACTACAACTTGCATTATTTTATCTGTAAATGTAGATGATTTATTCGATTTCACTATTGTTTACCGTCTTTTTGGTTTTAAAAGTAGATGGTCTATCTTTTATATATTGAAAATTAACGCTGATTGATAAATTTGTTAAGATGACAATCATTTACCCTCAAATAATTTAACTAAGAAAATAGCAAACACTGCAATACAATTGTTCTTCTCCTAGCTAGTTAGAAGGCCATAAAAAATAATATTGGCAAACAATTATCTATCTTGCCCCAATTACATGAAATAAAAATCCCATAATAATTCTAAGGATATAATTGAAAAGAAAACTTTTTGTCAAATTTTAATCCCGAACACAAGATGGGGTGGGAAGCAATACCAAACATTTGGTAAAAAATAACCCCTACACTACTTAGGGGTCGTTTGGTAGAGTGTATAAGAATAATGCTTAATATAGTGTATTAGTAATGCTTGTATTCGCAATGCATGTATTAGTTATGCTTGCATTAATTATATAGATTATTTATATGCATTGTTTGGTTTGATGTATTAAATAAATCATGCATTGCATAAAAAAATTAATTTACAAAGATGTCCTCCACTATTATGATGGAAAAGATATAAAAAGAGATTTAAGGGGCAAATGGGTCTTCAAGGGGTCGTTTGGTAGAGTGTAATGCATGCATTAGGTGTGTAGTAGTAGTACCTTGCTTGGCGCACATTTTCTTGCCATGTATAACTAATGCTTACATTAGTTATACACTCTATTGTGTATTACTAATACCAAGTAATTCTAGGTATTAGTAATACATAGCATTTCACACTTGCATTAGAATAAATAATTACAAAATTACCCTCAAAGCTTTTCAAAACATTTCCAAACAGTTTCTCAGCTTTTCATTTTCTTTCTTGTCATATGTTTTTGTTTTTATTTTATTTGGTTTTCAATGTTTTAATTTGTTGGTGTTTTAATAGACTTTATGGCCTCTTAAGTATCTTTGTTTTAAAAAAATTATTCAGTAGGAAGTGCATGTAGAACAACATACCCATGAAAGGAATCTGGAAGAGTGGCTCCAACCAACGTGAAAAGATTCACTTGGCTGGTAGCTAAAAGAGCCTGTCTAACTCATGAGGCACTGTAGAGGAGGGGCACCAACATAGCCTCAAGGTGTTTTCTGTGCAAAGAGGCTCTGGAGACCAACAAGCACCTGTTTCTCCACTGCACTATAGACGAGGTGTTCTGCGTGCAAAGAGGATCTGAAGACCAACAAACACCTGTTTCTCCACTGCAAGAGAACAGCACAGGTCTAAACTTTATTTACTGGCATAGCCAGTGTAAACTGGACTGCTGAACTATCCCCAGACACTCAGGAGATTTATTAAGCCGTTGGATTAGAAAAGGGAGGTAGCAAGAGTCAGAAGAGGTGGGGAGAATAGTTTCAGCATGCATCTGGTGGAATATGGTGGAATATTTGGAAAGAAAGAAATCAAAAAAATTTGAGGAAGTTGAGAAATGCCTCCCTAACCTATTATCGGATTCTCAACATCACACTTATACTTTGTAGGGGATCCTATTACCCCACTGGATTCTTTAAAAACTAATATTTACCACCCTAAAACTAGACAACCACATTCTCAACGTCTAGTGATGCACACTCGCTGCCAGCTGTCATTTTTTGTTATTAATATTTATTTTTATCTCTTTATCCCCATTTTGATTAATTACAAAAAGATCATTGTTCTTTTTATTCCTTCTTCTTCTTCTCTTTTGTTTTTCATTCCCTTCTTCCAAATCTGTCACCCACGATTTAAAAAAAAACTATTTTATTATCATTTTTCCATCACCTTATACCATCCTTCAGCACCTTGACGAGCTTGATTACTCATCACTTTTGAATTTTTTTATTATGTTATTTCTTTGTCTCCATGACACCAAATTTGTAATCAATTTTATTACGAGCTGTCGAAGGTCAAATTCTTGGGTCTTCACCAAACAACAATAGAGCTTGAAGATAAGATCTGATAATTGATGCATGTTACTTACCCAAAACCAGTGAGAAGGTAGATTAATAGTGTTGATATTTTGAACTAATTTGAGATTATAAGACCACGAAAGATATAATTCAATTATTACTATTATGTGGCTTGGGTAGTAGAGGCGGATTAGAAACAAGATTGTAATTAGAGAAGTCGGCCACTGGAGGTGATGTAGGCAAGGACAAGGTCGACGATGAAGGACAAAACTCACTAGGAGGGATGATGGGTACATTTGTTTGGTGGGGACCGTGACTAGGTACTATAATGTGGTGACGAAGAATGAGGGGTGTCACGAGGTGCGGGTGTGAAATAAACTAGGAGGTGTGGGCGGTTGTGGAGGACTAGAATTTGGAGCAATAGCAACAAGGAGAGAAATCAAAGGGTGTGACGAAGTTGGTTGGGATGGGGGAGGGCCAAGGACAGAAGGTTCGGCAAATAGGAATTTTCTCTCATCAAATTTGATGTGTCGGGCAATATAAACTCGTCAAGTGGAGCGATCAAGGCATCTATAACCCAAGTGGCTGGGACTATATACCCAGATCAAACACCAAAAACTCATGTTTAGATTTACTTTATGAAATTCATGATCGAAGAAAATTATTTTACAATCATAAATGTTTTAATTGAATGGATTTCTCCGTTTATCAAAAAAGAAATTTAGTAATAAAATGGACACTTCAATGATGGAAGGTGTTAAATAATTCTATTTTCTTTTCTCTTTTTTGTCTTGATTCCAATCTTTCTTCTTCTGTTTTTTTTTGAGAATGATAATTTTTTTTCCTATTTATCCACAGGTATACTACGTCAATGTAGCCCCCCTCCAAAAGTATTAAAACTAGATTGACTCCATCTGTGCTTTTTGTCACAAATAGTCTATAACATCAAAAAGTTCTTCTACTTGTACTAAAACTTTCTGTTTACACCAAAAATAATAAAGAGCTATACAATTCATCTTAAAATTCTGCAAATTGTTCTTCTTGCCCTCAAAACATCTTTGATTCCTTTCTTTCCACACTGTCCACCATATACAAGCTGGGACAATCCTCCATCTCTCCTCCTTAATTGTAGTATTTCCTATATTGATCCAACAATTTAGGAGTTGTGCTATGTTTCTTGGTTTCACCCAAATGATATTCCTAAGGTTGCTGAATATTCTCCATAAACGATCTGTCCATTTGCAATGCAGGAAGAGATCGTTGACCGTCTCTGCCTGTCCCTCACACAAAAAGCATCTTGAGCATAGTTGGAACTTCCCCTTCTTTATATTCTCTTGTGTCAGCACTGCTTCCTTTGCTAGTAACCATGTGAAACAAATTACCTTGTATGGGATTTTAGGTTTCCATATCAACTGCCATGGCCAGAGCTCCTTCCTGTCATTTGAATTTGAATGATTGAGATCTTTGTAAGCTGACTTGACACTGAAAACCCCTTTGCTGCCAATCTTCCACACAACCTTGTCTTCTTCCCTACTCATATTACTAAATTGTGCCATTGTATCATGGAAGGCCACTATGTTCCCCAACTCCCAATCATTTAGATTCCTCCTAAGATGTAAGTTCCACCCCTGTCCTATCCAGATTTCAGCCACAGTTGCATTTTGTTGATAGCTCAGTGTATATAGGTCCGGAAATAATTGTTTTAGGGTTCTTTGGGCTATCCATCTGTCCTCCCAAAATGACACCTTCATTCCATTACCCACCTGGAATCTGATTCTAGAACGAAACAGAGACCAAAGATTACTTACTGATCTCCAGATACCACATCCATATAGTGTAGTCACCATCTTTGTCATTCACCGATTCTCCATTTCATATTATGCCCTGATCATCTCTCTCCAAAGCATATTCTCTCCTGTGATAAACTTCCAACGCCATTTCAGCATTAGGCTTTTGTATTGTTTCTTCATGTTCCTAATCCCCAGTCCCCCGTCTTTCTTGTTTTTTATGACCTCTTCCCACTTGACTAGATGAAACTTCTTTTTGTCTTCATTTCCCCGCCAAAAGAAATTTCTTCTCAAAGCATCTATCCTCTGTATGACCTTATCTGGTGCTGGGAACACAGACATCATATAAGCAGGTATTGCATCTACCACACTATTAACCATGGTTAATTATATTGGTCTTTACTCCGTGAAGCAAATTGCAAAGAAAATATTAGAAGATGGATAAAAAGATGTCGTTAGTATAGTGATGGTGGTTCAAGGTGGAGGAAATGGTGGTGAGGTTAATGTTGAGTAACGAGAAAGAGAGGGGAAAAAAGAAAAAGAAAAAAAAGTTAAAGAGAAAAGTGAAAATATATATTTAACAAAAAGGCAAATTAAAATGTTACTAAAATATTTTTTATTAATTCTTTTGACTTACACATGCCTCCACGAGAGTGAGGACACTCTCTGTGCTAAGTCAGCATCTAAGGGTGTAATTATTCCGTTTTAAAATAGTCTAAGGATTAATAATACTCCCGTAAAGCATAAGTGTGTAGCTGAATAACAGGTTGAGGGGGCATTTGACTATTTTCTCAAGATTTTTTTAAGGGAAAGAATGTGTTATACAATAAAGTGAAAAGCAATCACTTCTTTATTGCTGTAAAGAACAGGAGATCCAGCTAGTGAATTTTATAGGATCTTTATAAGTATTTGTGTTCTCTTTTCTCTTGTAACAACTTTTTCGAGGTGGGCAGCATAGACATTAATACGTAAGTTTCCAAGTTCAAACGTGTGACATCTTTGCTCCATCATAGGAGGTGTTGATTGTGTTAATGAATTAACGTGATTTTAGGAGACTTAATTTTTCCTTTTCCCAGTGTAATTAAAAGAACAATGTTTTTCTTTTGTAGTAATTGATTGTCTTTTCTTAATTAAGTCAGAATCACTTGTATAAATACCCCTTCTCATGGAACATAAAAATATATTGAGAGACATAAAAGTCTTCACTTCTTTCTCAAAATCTACAAATAAAATTCAATCCGTGAACATAAAGTGAAAATCAAATAGTTTGTTTCCCCTGTAAGAAAGGACATTGTGCTGCACAGTATTTCAATTTTCAACAATCTGACAGTTCACATTCATGAATATTCAAATGCAACATCGACTAACAAGAGAATGAAGAAAAGAATTAATGAAAACAAAATCAAGAAAATAAGCACCGTAAGTTAAAAGTGTACCTGTAATGAGATTGATGCATCAAATAAAGCATAAGGTTGAGCTCTAAGAACAGCAACATTTTCTGCATGAACTTCTTCCCGAGTTAGTTCAGGAAATGTTGCTCCCAACCAAGAGATTGCCAAATTTGAGTTTTTCACAGCTTTTGAATTCGCTGATTTCAGACCAAACATGTGAGCATAACTATATAACTCCAGTACAGATTCCCATTTGTACACACTGTTCCAATAGAAAGCAGCTACTTTGGTGAGATTAAGTGAAGTATTACGACCTGCTACTTGCACGGGCCAAAAATAGCAACACGGGGCATAAGGAGAAACATATGCAAATTAGAAGTCTTGATGAGAACATGAAAATGAGACACATGGGAGGAGGAATAATTGCTCTAAGGGAAAGGTAATAGTCTATTAGACCTCTTATACAGACACACGAGTATCAAAATATTAGGAAATTAACCTATAAGTTGTTCAAGTTTACAAGTGAGCAAATATAAGAAAATGACAGAAGCATTATGGAAAAAGATATTTTGTCTTTTGTCAACTAATAGAAGGACCTCACAAAAATTAATATCACTTCACGACCATCATATTTAAATTTCTGTTAATAAGCATCTCCTAACAAAACCTCAAGATTAGCAGCATTATGATCTCTGGCAAATTACCTTCCAAATGGAACAACAGGACATAAGATGTAAACTGAGCCATCACTAAACAAGATGAAAACCTGCATAAAATAATATAATTACTCAACTTTCACATACAAAGCTAATGATGGTAAAACCACTTGATCATAACCACCACTGCCAGAAGATGGATTTTATAAAATAGACAGTAAATCTGCTACTATATAGTGATACACTAGTTCCATATATTGTTATCACCAAACATATCAATGCAGCTACGATTCATAAACTATTACCATGCCATTTCTTTTAATTTTTATCATCCCACATATTCACATAGTGAAAAGATCATGATTCACTAATGAAGTATATTCTTTTAAGTCCCCAAAGTTTGTCAACAGGGCATCATCACAGTATACCTGAGCTTATAACTCTTATAAGCACTATGTCTATAATATAACGGGAAGGTGGTAAAAAATTAAACTAAGAATGGCTCAATTTTGCACAGTTGAAGTAGTTAGTGGGCTTCAGATAGGAGGAGATGTGTCATGGCGGCTGTGCAGTAACAATGGTTCCTTCCAAGTTAGTGCAGCTTACAGAATGATGAACCTTTTTTTTAACTTGGAAACGTTCCATAATGATGAATCATTCCTATCAACTACTGGCTTTGGAAGCTCTTGGAAAACTAAAATAAGACACAAAGTAGCTTGTTTTGTGAGGTTTAGGCGAAGGAAACCGTCCTTAGACAGGACAATTTGATGGAAGAGGGAACTATTTTCCAGATGTTTCTTCTGTGGGGAAAAGGCAGAGACAGTAAATCCTCTATTTCTACAATGCAAGGTTACAGGACAGATTTGGAGAATATTTTTGCATATCTTAGACTATGCCTGGTAAGGTTTCAGAGGCACTGTTGGCAGGAAGTAGGTGCAAGCAAAAGACAAAAGTTGATGGAGAATTGTCCCTGCTTGCATCTGGTGGACATTTAATCTGGAAGGAGAGACTCTAGATGTTTGAGAATGTGGAGAATAATATGCAGAAAATCAAGCTGATTCTGTATTCATCCAATGTTTTTGGTGTAATTAGATATCCTAAAATGGAACTACTTCAATGATTGATGTTTTAGATTCAATTTAATCATAGCACAGTAGAATTTGTAAGCTCTCTTGATTATATGATTTTAGTACAACCCATGTACTATTTTGATCATGATTTATATATACATATACACTGTTACCAGTTGCAACATAAGAATAGAACTTACACTGAACCTGTCCCACATATGATCATCCCCAAAAGAAAAATCGACAGGGCAGATTGCTGTAGCATTGTGCGAACTGCCAGGCTCCACGGGCTGTAGATAATACTCCTGCTCTGGCTGGCCAAGGGCCGAAGACAAATCGAAAACCCTGAACACAAAGTAATACATAAGTAAATATAGCACAATGTAATTTGTCAATAAGTAGAAATAACACAATTCTCCAATCAGCAAGTGATTTAACATGCAACTGATATATTAAGAAAGTCGTAGAGAACAAATGGAAAAAACTGTCTCACTTGTGGAAAACAAACAAAATGCTACACAGCTATTCAACAAGCTCTGAGCCTCTGACAACTACAAGCCCCAAAAATATTGATCACTTGTACATGAACACTCTGAGAAAAGGGGAGGGGAAAAGAAGCTACAGTGTAGATAAACGTCAGTGAGAAGTCAAGAGTTTGAGAGTGAACTCAGCTTGATTATTCCCACAGGCTATTGTTGTTTAAATAGCTAACTATACATGTCCTAAAAAGGAAATCAATATCAAATCAAGCTAGAGCGAATCTAGGAGTAAATCAAGCTACCCACTATATTTAAACATAGGCTATAGAATATTCCTAGGATTCTAACATTCCTCAAGCTGGTGCATACAAATTAAATGTATCAAGCTTGTTATATACATAACTTGTTCTGGGACCAGCTAGGGACTTGGTGAATATGCACGCAAATTGATAAATTGACCGCACGAACCTTGTGTCAATATCTCCGGAAAGTACCTTTTCTCTAACAAAATGACAATCAATATTTGTGTTTGGTCCTTTCGTGAAATATTGGACTCGATGCGATGTGAAATGCAGCTTGAATATCGCACACAGGTTCCATTCCTTTGGTATCTCCAAATTTCAATTCCTTCGGTAGTTGCTTGATCCATATGAGTTCACAGGTTGCCACCTGCAATAGCCTATAGCCTGATATTCTACTTCTTCACTAGATCTAGTAACCATATTTTGTATCTTACTTTTTACAAGACACCAAATTTTGCCCAACTAGAACACAATATCCATAAGTGGATCGTCCGTCAAAGGATGACCCTACCCAGTCTGCATCTGAATATCCAACAATTTTCTCATGTCATCGATCTTCATTAAGAAGTCCTTTCCCTGAAGTAGATTTTATGTATCGAATAATGTGAATAACTGCATCCAATGACTCACAAGGAGAATTCAAGAACGGACTGACGACACCAACCAGGAAGGTAACATCAGGGGTTGAGTCACTATGAGATATTCAACTTTCCTACCATATCTTCCTCGATCGCTAAGAGGCCCCCCCTACCTGGTAGAAGTTTAACATTTGAATCCATTGGAGAATCAATAGGCCTACAATCCGTCATCCCTATCTCTTCAAGAATATCAAGTGCATACTTCCCTGGTGAAATGGCAATTCCTGATTTGGATTGAGCAACTTCAATGCCCAAGAAGTACTTCTATCGACCAAGATCCTTAATCTGAAAGAGCTGGAAAAGATGATGATTCAATTTGGTAATTCACTCATCATTACTTGTGATAACTATGTCATCAACATACACTACCAAATACATGCACAAACCTGGACTAGAATGACAATAAAACACAGTATGATGTGTCACTTCATACCATGTCAAACTCTTAAATAATCATGCTAAACTTCTTAAACCATGCTCGAGGACACTGCTTCAGGCCATAAAGTGCTCGTCGTAGACTTCACACATGCTGCTAGACTCCCCCGAGCAACAAAACCAGGTGGTTGCTCGACATATACCTCATCTTCGAGATCTCCATGAAGAAACCGCAACCATGGATAAAAAGAGAAAACTGAAGCAATCTTGGCCAAGGGAAAGAAAATATCACCGTAGTCAAGACCAAAAATGAGCTTTTAGGCAATCAATCTATCCATCGGGGCAAACCTCCACAGTATATACCCACCGATAACCAACTGTAGATTTATCTAGAGGTAGAGAAACAAGCTCCCAAGTACCACTGGAGTGTAAGGCAGACATCTCTTCCATCATGGCTTAGATGAGAAAGAACTACACATGTAGTCTTACAAATGGACACAGATGATAGTGATGATACAAAGGGAGAATGAGTTGGTGACAAAAGATGATAGCTTAAAAAGTATAGATAGGATTAGGGTTACGAGTTGAGCGATTACCTTTTCGCGTGGCGATGGAAGGACTATGTAAACAAGTGGTGATTACCTTTGGGGTGGCCCAGTGGTTTGAGCTTGGGACTTCCATGTTGGAGGTCTCAAGTTCGAAACCCCTAGCCAGCGAAAGCAAGGGGTTTGGCTTCAAGGTCGAGCTCGTCGCACCAGGCTTGCCTGGTGCGGGTTAACTCTCCTATGTGATTTGCAAGCTACTGCATAGGAGCGAGGGTTTTACCCTGTGCACACCCAAAGGGTTGAAGCTGCAGGTTTTCCCTTGTCATCAAAAAAAAGTCCTCAGCAGACAATGATTATGGCAGAGGGCGTGAATCATCTGGGCGCGAACAACGATGATAGGTTAATAGTGGAAGGACAAACTATGGTGGATCACCAAAAGATGGAACTGGTAGAATGTCAGAAATGTCTAATTGTTGAGTAGAAAGAAGAGGATGCAAAGTAGGTTTGACCTTCAAAAAAAAAGTAACATCAGCTAACATAAGGAAGGTATCGCTGGAGTTCAGATGAGAAGCATCGATATCCCTTATGTACCATTTAATTGAGAAAGACATTTAAGAGCACGGGGAGCGAATTTTTCTTTTTATGGAGTGCCTATATGGACAAAGCACATGCTCCCAAAGACATGTGGTGGAAGAGTGAATAAGGTTGACTTGGAAACAAAATAGAGTGTGGTACCTTATTATGAATAGCATAGTAAGGCATACAATTAATCAAATAACAAGAGGTGAGCATTATGTCCCCACAAAATCGCAATGGAACATTTGCTTGTATGAGAAGAGTGTCTGCAGTCTCAACAATATGCCTATTTTTTCTCCCTGCAATCCAATTTGTTGTGCAGTGTATGGACAGTCTGATGAAAATATCCATGGAAATACATAAATAGTTTAAATTGAGATGATAAATATTCGCGTGCATTATCACTACAAAAAATGCAAATAGAAACACCAAACTAGTTTTTATTTCAGCGCACAAAGTTTGAAATATGGAAAATAGTTCAAAATGCTCTTTCATTAAGTACATCCAAGTGAACCTTGAGAAATCATCAATGGAAGTAACAAAACCTTCAAAATCCAATGTAGAATTGAGTCTAATAGGACCCCAAATATCACAATAACTAAATGAAAAGAGACTACGCACGATTATTAGGACTATGTGGAAAAGTAGCTTGGGTGTGCTTCCCCAATAGACATGACTCACAATCTAACTTAGACAATTTGGACAAGCTAAGTACCATCTTTTGAAGTTTGGATAAACTAGGGTGTCCCGATCATCTATGGGTTAAATCAAGAGAGTCTGAGATTGACAAACTATAATGGATTTGTGAGAATTGAGATAATAAAGTTCATCTTACTCATGCCCTTCGCCAATCATCCTTCCCGTACTAAGGTCTTGTATGACAAAGAAGTCACCAAAAAATAGGCAAAACAATATAAAGCCTAAGCCAAACAACTTATTGGAAGAGGCTAAATGGACAACCAAGGACAAAACGAGCATTATTTAGAGCCAAGAACGGTAAAGATTGGCTTGACCGACTCCGACTGCCATGGTCTGAGAAGTGTGGTGGATTGTGAGATACAAGCAACATGATTAATAAGATTGCCAACTTGGGCAACAAAAGTTATTGATGCAGATGTCTGCTTACTCGCCTGATACGGAAGAAAGTCATTGTATTCTACCTCGGGCAGAGAGAACAATTGATTGGTGGGATTACCAATGTATTAAGTTTGAGCAACATGAGCATTCTTTGGTTTACCATGTAGAGAGTAGCACACATCACGGGTATAACCCAATTTGTTATAATAACCACATCGTCGTTTCCCATGCCAGCCTCCATTTCGATTTATGGTCAGTAATGCAGTTTGAGATGCTAGGACAAACGAATGTGCAGGTGGTACTAGATGACTAGATGACATAGGTGGTGCTACTAGTTGTAACAATAGAGCAAGTAGGTCAATCCACAATAGGAACAATAAAGTTGGCGAAAATTTGATCTCGTAATAAATCAAGATCAAATGGAAGTCCAACAAGTGTAACAGCTAGAAACATCTTCTGACACTGCTCTAATTGCTTCTCAATATTTGGAGTAGCGAGCATTAACTCATTAATTCTCCATAACCACTTAACCTGTCCAAGATAAATTGACATATCCGAGTCCTGCTTTTTAAGGTTAGTCAACAGAGAAATCACATTATAAAAGCTGGATATGTCATTTGTATATTGCCCACGAGCCTTTTCCCAAACTAAGAAGCAAGTTTGGAATGGTCGAAACAAAGGCATCAACTTTGAATCAATAGATTCCCATAACAGACTACACAATTGAGCATCAATTTTCTCCCATTCGCCCCTACATTTTCCAGTAATATTCTTGGCCTGTTTAACCAAATGATCTTGAGCACCTTGTCCCTTGCACCATAAGTGAACAAAGGAGGACAAAGATAAATAGTTTGCAGTACCTTATAAAGGTTTTGTGGTGATACCATGGTTTGGGTTGGTGGAACTCACAGATTTAGTGCTAAGCAATCAGATCCGAGAGACATGAAAAATTGATCTTCAAGTGTTCAAAAATAAAGTAAATTCTGGGGGAAAACCTGAAAAACAGATCTGGAAAACTAGAGAACTGCTTGTTGTCTTGCCGGAAAAAGTTGCTGGACAAAAAACCTGCCAAAAAAGTGGCTGAAAAACACCACAAACTGTGAGAATTCCGATCGTAATAGTGGTACTGGTATATGCACAATACCCCTGGAGAGTGTCGGAGTTGCAAAACAGTGGAGGTTTTGTTTGGAAAAAAAATTCTCAGCAATTTAGTTCTCTTATATTCTTGTTTTCTCACTAAAGAAAGCTCTGATACCATGTGAGAAGACAATAATTTGAGAGAGAACTCAGCTTGATTATTCCCACAAGCTATTGGGGGGTTTAAATAGCCAAGTATACATGTCCTAAAAGGAAAGGAAATCAATACAAATCAATGTCAAATCAAGCTAGAGTAAATCTGCAGTAAACCAAGCTACCTACTATATTTACACATATTTTATGGAAAATTCGTATGATTTTAACAGTGTCGTTCTATGCAATGGAATGGTTCTACTAAACCCAACATTTGGACTCCACATTTAAATGGATCCAAGTTGTCTGAGTTCTAACCTCTATCAACAGGCATTACTGCAAATGAAAAGAGCTTCGTCAATTTGTCCAAATGAGCAACAAGACAGGCCAAATTACTGACAGCTCACTTCCAGATATAAGGTTCTGTCCTCTTTGCTATTTGTTGATACTCCTAATATTTTTCGGCTCATCAAGTCTGAAAGGATTAGCTTCTTGAAAGAAATATATTGAAGTATTGCATCTCACTTAGAAATTTTAGAGAGCTTTCAGATGGCCACAAATAGACTCATGTAACAGACCAAAAGCAGCATGTTGTTCCCATAAGTCTTTTGTTTTAGAAAACCTACCTGTACAACTTAGGGAACTATTTATTTATCATTGTCATTTGAGGGTTTGAGCTAACAGAAAGAGGTTTCAGTTCGTTCTATCGTTTCCATTTGGGTTCACGTTAAAATGTTCGCCAAAAGAAGCAGATCATGGACAATTAATCTAGTTTAATAAGCCAAATTGAATGACATGTTTGCCGTGAAGAGTTCCACGCCACAATTATTTTCCCATGTGGAAGTGGCATATATATTGAGAGCTCAACAACCATAAAGCACTATGCACCAAACAACACCTTCCACTAGAACACCATGTCCCGGTGATATAAAACACCATATCTCTTTTCTGTTATTGCTTATAAATTCCTTTTCATGTGTACTGCAAGATGCACTTTCTTTTGTACTAATTGCCTCTGGAAAAAGATTAAAGAAATGTACATAGTATTTTCTGAAAGAGAAAGGCATGGGTTTTTTTTCTTGTTTAGTATCCAACAATTTAAACAAGCAAATCTTCATTTAGTTTAGAATTCCATCTACTCCTATAAATTTCAAGTTTGTGAAATCCTTCTATTCTCTAATAACCAAATTATATCTACCGCAACATGCTTTCTCACATGGTCAACTTTATGTTGAACTTCCAAGAGGGATTTCAATGTCGATAACAAGAGTTTTGTTATGACAGAGCAACCGAAACAAGTGAAACGAACATACACCTAGAATATCATCTAGAAGAAAGCATTAGGTGAGATACGGTTAATAACATGAGTGTACCCCATAAAAGCTAAATAAGTAAAAGCAACTACATGTTCTAATTGAACTTTGATTTGTATCTTTATAGGTTCACACTATATGTAATTATCTTGACATCGACAAACAAGACATCATTCAACGATCAACACTGATCATTCCAGAAACTGCATACTTCATTCGTTTGTGTATAATTTCCAACTTAATAATATTGATATAATTTAACAAAAACTCTATACTCCAATGTCAGGCAATATACTATCAACTTGACTACATGACTCCGAAACCAAGTGCAACACACATGTCGAGAGACTAGTCTTATTAAAATGTCTAAAAAACACAGATTGAGCAACTCTTTTCAGGTTTTCAACATACACCACTTGAGAACTGTATCATCAAAAATCCTAAATTAAATTTTCAACGATGAAATAAGTACCTGAAAACCGAATCAGAAGAGAGAATTCCAAGATGGGTGTCACTGTAAGGGTGCCAACAAACCTTCAACGTGCGTATTGCATTGTTTCTGTCAAAGTAGATCTCTGAACCAACTAGAACTGTCCTGTAACCGGCAACAGGAAATGAACACATTTAATGTGACTTCAAATGCACCACAACTGATTATCAGAAAACAACATAATTACCCTCAAATATTGGTACTGAAGAAGTAGCTATCATGTCTATTTTGTTTTAATCTCCTAATACATTTGAGAGGATAATCTGACTAGTTTACTCAAGGATGACAGTAATAAATATTCTTGAACCATAGAAAGAGTCTCTTGACATAACCTGATATTGCCCTTTACAGAACAGAATGTAAGTTAGGAGGTGCAAATGAAACCTGCAGTTAATGACTATAAAAGTCCTCTATTTGATATTAAAATACAATCTAATTAAACCAAACCAGAGATACTTTGAAAAATATATATTTAACATTTTTTTAATAAGGTACATAATATCATCAACGTGAGTTAACTCCTATATATAAGCAGTGTATCAAAAGGAGAAGAACCTACACGAGTATAATTCTCTAAAAATGACAGTTTTATACAAAAGGAACCTCCTAGGTGCACGAGAGACCAACTAAAAACAATTGGCAAATTCTTAAATACCAAAATTATTTCATACCCCCTCAACAGTTCATATTTCTCTCTTTCCACTACTTCCACGTGATGACCAAGGCGGCAACATTCTATAATCTCCGACTTTTCTTCTTTCTAATAAAAACCCAAATATGTAATATGTCCTTTACGGAACCAAGCATCGCCGGTTGCACTCCAAGCCAATTTGATATAAACCATTTCAAACATGCGGACACCAGGGCAAGCTAGCCTACTGCACAAAGAAACCAACAAGGGGTGTGATGAACAGCACAACTTTAATGCAAGTATTAGTTGATCTACATCGTCGCCTATGTAACCATCAATAATCACCGGCTAACACATGTAATAATTTTCTTCCTTATGTAACACGTGTTCTCAATTGACAGAATTACTCCATTGATGCTAACAAGACTACCTTTCTAGGCATCATAAGAATACTGAATCATCCTTTAACAAAAGCTTGTGGTGGCATAACTTTACAAAGAACGCACCATCACTTCTTAGCTCTTACCCTCCCTCTCCGTGGTAGCTCATGAATGAATTCTCTATTTTTAGGGTATGTCCTCCAATGTTTGAAATCCATCAACCTCTTATTCTAATAAATTCCTCTTAAACCTCAAGTTTCAGTGAACCATCCTATCTTGTGTCATTCAAATCAGTTGCGCTATCATCTCATTTTGGCTCAAGAAACTGTGAGTTGGGGAGGCTTCATGACATGTTCAGTCCAACCACAACCCTAGTGACCTTAAAGCTAACTTTGCTACCACCCTTACCCTATATGTAACGACGCCACTGAAGTCTTCTCATTCCTTTATGTTGTTCCACCAAGTATAGCATCCATACGACAATTTCATGTTTCCAGTCCTCCATCCCCTTCCACAATAACATATTTCCTTCTGATTACCTCCTTCTATAATATCTGGTCCTCAAAAATAACCCTATACTTTTATGAGACTGTCTTGTTGGAAACTGAAGTCAGTCACTGCCAGGATGTCCTTACTCTCTTAAAGATGTTATGGTCTCCCAACAAACTAGATAACACGATGAGTACCTTCTATTGAGTCCCATTGGAAATTCTTTTAAAGCCATTACAACTTCCCTATACTAAATGGAGCCTGCAAAAAAAATATGCAATATGTGGGTATTCTTGATATTGTGCTCTTGACTAGTGCTTCCTTCACCCTTTTGATGAATGTCTCTTTTGTCACCCTGCTAGTCACCTTTCAAATCTTTTAGTTACTGAATCTCACACAACTAGCCCTAATTTGAAACACCCAATGGCAATCCTATGTAAATGGTAAGGAGAGTTTTATACGTACAATTGCACTTGTGGTAGGTGTTCAACATTGTCCACCTCATCCATGAACTCACTTTTTAAGTGTTGATCTTGAGCTTTAACACTACTTGGAATTCTAAGAAGGTCTATTTCAAGGAACTCAACTAGAAAATATCTTAACATATATCCCCATTAGATATACACTGGTATGTCGTCAGCAAATAATAGGTATGTGATCATCACGCAACTATGTTCACTAATCAAGGCTGAGAAACTCTAACCTCCCGTTACAACTTCATCTATCATCCTACTTAAGACTTCCATCATCAAATTGTACAACATAGAAAATAATGGACTCCTTACCCCAAGCCTCACGAGCTTGTCCACCTGCAATTCAGCACTTGTATAAGGTGGTCACCATGTCCACCTCGTCCACTTAAATGATATTAATTTTTAGCGTTAATCTTCTTCTATGACACTACTTTGAATTAAATGAAGGTCTAATTCAAAGAAAACAACAAGAAAATATCTTCATCACGTACACACTAGTATGTTAGACTAATAATCTTCGGGGTGGACCAGTGGTTTGGATTTGGGACTTCCATGTTGGAGGTCTCAAGTTTGAAACCCCTTGCAAGTAAAAGCAAAGGGTCTACCTACTTCGAGCTTGTCGCACCGAGCTTGCCTAGTGCGGAGTACCTCTATTATGTTGTGTGCACCCAAAAGGGTAGCGGCTGCGAGTTTCCTTGTCATGAAAAAAAAAATCAACCCATTTCATTAAGCCTCCAACCAAGCTTTTTTGCATACTAGCTAGGTTCTTCACCAACCTTCAATCTTCTAAAACTTCTTCTACGTCAAGTGTTGGCCAAGTCAAGGCTTCCTTGTAAATTTGACTTAAATTTATGGACTTCTAGAGAGTAGTATGAGTCACTCTCGCCCAGTGTTTAGAAAGGCGAGCACCTCATGGCCAATGGCGAAAGGCGAGGCGACGGGTTTTTCGCCTATTTCAAGAGACGCGTGTCGAGATCAAAAAGCGAGTGAAGGCGAGGGCTGAGTGATGCAATAGGTGTTGCCTTTTTTTGTTTTTTTTTAAGCCAAAATGTTAATAATTAAAAAGCCAAACAATCAAATTAGGGTTTTTGGGTATTTTTTCAACTTATGTCGCGACTGTTCCTTCTCAATTGGAGACTTGAAATCGACTGGAATTAAAGTTGTTGCTACTACGATTGGAAACTTGAAGTCTACTGTCGCGATTGCTCCTCTTCCCCTCGCGTCTCTTTCCTCTTTCACCGCACCACTTGAAATCAATCCCTCGAAGGTAACTTCTCATCGCACGATTGTGGCGACTGCTCTTCTCTTTTTTTGCTTCTTTTCAGTTCTTCTTCTTGAGTTCTCTTCTTCTTCAAGAGTTCTTCTTCTCTTCTTTTTTCGTTTCTTCTCATCATAGTAGCTTGTTGCATTCTCTGACAATTTTTTTCACTGCTTACTACCTTCACTACTTGTTGTCTTTAATTTTTTTTTAATATAATGATGTAGAGGATGTTGATCTTCAAGAGTTGCATAGTTTTGAAGAAGAATTGAGTTTTAGAGTTCTAGTGTTGTCTTTTGAACTATTGGGTCTTTATAGTTCTAGATTTTTAGTATCTACTATTCATTTTTGAATTGAAATATTTGTTAATATATTACTGCTATTGTCCTTCTCAAAATATATTATTGCTATTGAGATTTTGGATATTTATATATGCAATTAAATATTTATAATTTTTTGTATTAATTGGTGCCTTGATTCAAAAACGCGAGTGCCTCGCCGCTTGGCGAGGCAGGCCCTTATCGCCTTTTGTCACCTCTCCCGTCCAAAACGCTGCCCTCGCCTTCCTTTCATTCAACCAAGGGATCATGAGAAATTCAAGAAAAGGACAGTTAGAAAGTGTGTACAAAATGTGTACAGATATAAAAGGATAACCTAGGTGGCTCCCTAACTGGGTTGTTGGATATCATTGGAATATCCCTCATGAATGTGTAAAGTTGACTCGTCGAACATTTTCACCTTCTTGGCACATGTCTCCTCTAGCGAAGTCTTGACTTCTTGGGCAATTTGGTCATGCTCACCCAAACGTTTTGAGTTCAGAGATGTAGTCGATGATCAAAAAGGCTTGTCAACGTTGTTCTTTTCTCTCTCCTCCATCTACCTAGCTAACAACTAGTGACTTCTTCCTTTTTTGTCAAGTTCTTGAAAAATTTTTGATAAAGTAATTAGATGATATTAGAAAGCATCAAGAAGATGCAAAGTCACAAAGCACAATGTGCAAGAAAGCTGCTCCAAACAACTAACAACTAGTGACTTCTTCCATTTTTTGTCAAGTTCTTGAAAATTGTAGCTTTTCCAAGGTAAAAGAAGAAAGACAATCCAAAAATCATAGAGAACAGTATGTCTTCTGAATATGCAAACAGATCGAAGGCATAAGGAAAAGGATCATAGAAGGGTAACAAATTGAGACTGGGAGTAGTAAGACAAATTGGTATCACCATTATTGTAATTGAATATGCTACTTGAGATTTCCGGTCATAAAGAGTAGAAATGGCTTGTGCAAAATGCATCATACCGTTTAATTGAAAAATGGCTTGCTCATTAGCACAGATCTCATTACCGCTCATTTATGGCATATCAGGATAACTATACCATCATTTTATATATTCAAACACTTCGATTTAAAATCAAGGAGAATAAGCCTATTGTCTACCGAAAACCTCGAAAAGCCAAATTTTGCAATTACTTGCCATTTTTGAGCTTCTAACACACCCAAAGTGCTTCTCAAATATAATATTTCTTCCAAAGAATCCCAAAAACAATTTTTTACAAAGATTTAGGAGCCATTTAGGTGTGACCTCATATCAATATCATCATTGATAAGCAATAGCTAGAAAAAGAAGATAACCTAACAGATGGTATTACCCATTGCAGACACGTATAAATCTGACCTGCCTCTTGCCCTTAAATTAACAAAGATATCAGCATGTACTTACAGTCACAAGTCTCTTGATGAATGAGAAATCCCAAAAACATTAATAGCAAAGAAAACAAAGTTCTCATAAAAAGCCAATAATCGTAAACAACACTCAACAAGCTGGGTATCCTAGAATACGTAGCTTACGAAGCCATTCCAAGAGGAAACTACATATGCTGAGATGCAAGATCAAGAACAGTTCTCAAAAACAAATGCTACATCCAAAATTAATTTTTTTAAAAAAAGGGAAAGATGGTTTCAGGTAGCTATACCAGAAAATTCATAATTTCCTCCAGCCAACCAGGAATAGAGTGCATATGACTGGTTAAATACATACGGTGCTTCCGAACTCCGAAGATAAAGGAGAATGTACATTTCAAATGACACATAGTAACAAATTACAATTAACACTATTGTTTTTGAAACACACTGGAATGCAAAGAAAACATAACCATACAAAACCAAAATGAGGAAGTTATACCGGCAAATAATTGTACTTTCTTTTGTCGAAGTCCTCCCACAGAGATACATGACGTATAAACCATCCAAGCAAACTAGGAACAGTGCTGATCCATTTCTGTTAATGGAAATTCGTTGAACCTCAGAATTCAATTGCACATCAGCTTGCAGTACCTAAGCAACAACCAGCACCATCAAATACGTAGCTAGAACAATTAGTAGCTTGATATCAGGTAGAAGTGGTACCAATGCACTTAAATTATTGGTGATAAATTCTTTTCTCCCTCTTTTGGGTTTTTTTTTTGGAAACTGGTAAGATTCTTTTGGGTTTTTAAAATAAGGGAGGAACGAGAAAGAATGAAAGAAGTGGATTGAACATTGGGGCTGAATTGAATATTTGTTAATCAGATAGGAATGGCGGTGTGGGGCTATGCAAGTTAAAGGTGCAATATAAGTTGAAAATCAGTCAAACCAGTATAGGTCAACTATTGTTGTCAGCTTTCAATCAACTAATTAATCCCTATATGTTACAAGTAGATTGTTGAAAATGTTATAACCCTCCTCTATTCGAACAGTCAACTTCAGTTTGCTAAGAAAAGTAAAACATAAACATGGAATGGAGATTTGTACATAAGAAGTTACCTTAGAGGGAGAAGCTGCAAGGAGAGAAGTAGGATCGGGTTCACCCAATCGAACAGAGAGTCGATGCAGACATGTTTTGTAAGAGTCCCAAAAGTAGAGACGAGAAGCTCCGTCCCAAGCTAAAAGATTTTTGGGTATTGTCAAGGCCCTGTCTCCATCCCTATCCCTATCCGGCGGAGTAGAAAAGACAGGGTGGTGCTGTAAGGGTAGCCATTCCACATCTTCAGATTGACGGCCACCATCCTCCTCCTCGAAATTGTATCTCATACTCCTTGGATTCTCCCGCAAAACCAAATGTAAATTGTTTATTGTCTTTTCAAAAATATGTGAGGGGTTCCTGCGTTGAGCATGGGCCCAATCTGGAGCAAACAATGGGAAACAGAAATCAAATATATAAAAAGAGGCTGACAAAGAGGATCACCAACCGAGTGTAATGAGAAAATTTGATGACTTGAAGAAAAAATATCTATTTGTGTGATTGATAGAAACTGCATGTTTGACATTTCCCAGACAAATCAATCCAAAGTTAGTTGGGGGGTTAATGTATTTAGAGGCCTAAATGATGTCACTGTTAACAACAAAGATCAAGGTATATATTCTTCTTACTATCTTATTGACATAATCCATTTTATTATCTTATATATAAAGGAGTGACTCTCACAAGTCACATATAACCAGAAATTTGCAAAGATCTGTCACTGAAGTTATAGCAGAAGAATTCAGGAACAAGAGGTTAATTCTGTACTTGAGCAAGAGGAGAAGTCGATCTTGATGACCCAAAAACTATCGATGGAGCAGTCTATCTTAAGGACTGGCTTTCTTTCATGACCGCGTACATACTTTATAAAGTAGCAATAAACGCTTAGTTGAGGATCATGACAAAGAAGCACCTACTTATAATGATCAATTGAAATACAAAATGATCAAATCAAGAACCAAAAAAATGGATTTTTTATATGCAGAGTACTACAATCGAAACTTGTTAATATCAAACTCACACAAAAAAAGCTCCAATAAACAAAGCAGACAAAGACAAGAAAGTAGAAACAACTCAGTGACTAATCCTGAATTCTTCGGAGAGGATCTTTGCAGAACCTGCATTAGCATCCGAACTGTAATGTTGGGCCAAACCATGCTTAAATTAAATTCAAAACTTTAAGATCTAATCAGTAAGTTCTCATGCTTAAAGGTGACATACATAGCCATTTAAATGAAGAAATTCGTACCTGAGATGAACCTTAGCAGACCTATTTAATAAACCAAGATCACAAAGCTCTAAACTGACTAAACCGATTTGTAGGTGTTGCTCGGCGTCCCTGCGTCGCTGGTCGGAGCTGCTGCCTCGCTGGACGCCGTCCAGCTCTTGCTGACGGTTGTTGGTTCCCTGAAACTCGCCGGGAGAAGGGAGGGGACGAGCGGGCTGTCGGCTGGCGTGCTCCTCGCCGGCGCTGCTGTTTGCTGCTGCTCCTAGCAGGACTTCTGTGGAGAAGAGTCGGGAGGGGGAGAGAGGAAGAAAGAAGAGAGGAGGGAGGAAGAGGGTGGCGCCGGAGCTGCTGCTTCTCGCCGGAAAAATGGAGAGGACGAAGGTAAAGGGGAAGGGGAGAAGAAGAGGGGGCGGTTGGAGAGAGGAGAGGATGAGGGGAGAGAATGGCGGCTGCCAAGGAGCGGGGAGGAAGAAGAATTGAGTCTTTTCGCAATCGAAGTGGAAGGCTTAATCAAGACCCTTGAATTAATTTAGGATTCAATCAAAATGTATGGCTAAGATTCAATTTTGGATTTAATGAATCAATGGATATAACTAGTACTAGTTGTATCTTATACATAATAAAAAAATTTGATGAATAAGATTAAAAGATGGAGTCTTAAAATTAAATTCGATTGGATATGAAAAGACTAAAAGATTATAATAAAATTGACTAGAATTGAAATGAAAGACCGGTTACTATTGAAATAAGATTTGAATTAGATTTGGCTAGAGTTGAAAGGAATTAGAATAAAATGACTACAATTTAAATGATTTTGAGAAAAATTTAGAAATGTTATCCAATTAAAATACTATAAATTTTATAATATATTTCATATAATTAAAATCACTTAAATTTTGAAACATTTGAATAAAATAACTATTTAGAAATTTATTAACAATTTTTAATAATATTTACAGATATTTTATAAAGTAAACATACTAAAATATCTAATTATTTATGCAAAATCGACTAAAATTTTAAATTTAAAATACGTATTTAATCGAATAGCATCCCTAAAAATATTTAAAGGTCGGTCGAATTTGGATATCAACACCTGTCTGCATCGAATCTCTGTTCGATTGGGCGAACCCGATCCTACTTCCCTCCTTGCAGATTCTCCCTCTAAGGTAACTTCTTATGTACAAATCTCCATTCCATGTTTATGTTTTACTTTTGGGAAAATACACAAGTACCCCCTCAATCTATGTCTGAAATCTCAGAGACACACTTATACTATACTAAGGTCCTATTACCCCCCTAAACTTATTTTATAAGTAATTTTCTATCCTTTTTCGACCTACATGGCACTAGGTTGAAAAAAGAAAGTCAATCAGCGTTGGCCTCACAAAATAGTGTCACGTAGGCCAAAAAGGGATAGGAAATTACTTATAAAATAAGTTCAGGGGGGGTAATAAGATCTTAGTATAGTATAAGTATGTCTCTGGGATTTAGGGCATAGGTTGAGGGGGTACTTTGGCATTATCCCTTTATATTTCTTAGCAAACTGAAGTTGACTGCATGAATAAAGGAGGGTTATAACATTTTCAACAATCTGCTTGTTACATATAGGGATTAGTTGATTCAAAGGTGACAACAATAGCTAACATATACTGGTTTGACTGATTTTCAACTTATATTGCACCTTTAACTTGCATAGCCCCACACCCCCATTCCTGTATCAGCTCCAATGTTCAATCCACTTCTTTCATTCTTTCTCGTTCCTTCCTTATTAATAAATATCTGGTGGACTGCCTTAACACTTGACAGATAATGTTTATGCCCATTTAAATAGTAATGGAGAATTTCATTGGATATTGGCAGTTGTTGCATTGAAGGAATGCTGCATAAAAGTGTATGATTCAATGTCCTTATCTAAGACTAACAGAAAATTGTGGTCGGAAATTCAAAAGTTGTCTACAATTTTGTCAAAGTACCTTGAATTCATCGCATTTTTTAGCAAAAAAAAGTGAATCAACTTGTCAGTTCTTGAATTTTACCAAGGAAAGAACAAATCTCACCCATTCGAAATCAGACATGTTACTGGATTTTCCAACAAGAAAAAAGTAGTCTAGAAGTATCACACTATTTTTTGTCTTACGACTATCAAAATGTGATGTTATTATATTTTTCAATTGATGATATACCACTACACCATTTTAGGCCTACGACCACACCAGTAAAGTGTAGCCTAAATTAGCAAAAAGTGTGATCTTTGACAAAAGAAAAACCCAAAGTTCAAATGATATTTCGAATTCAACAAACAGGCAAAATTAACAATTCAGATCAGCAAACAAAACATTGAATAATGCATAAACCAAGCAAATGAAGACAAAAAGATGCATGTCCACTAAGGGTTTTTTGGGAAAACATCCAATCGAAAGAAAACCCAAGAATTTAGTGAACGGGGAATAGGAAACACAGAAAATAAATGAGGCAGAGAAAGGAGGTGTACATTTTTGTTCATAGGATAAACTGGAACTTTGTCTCCCAATGTAGGACACAAATTGAATCTCTGTTGTTTTCCATGGAACATAAAGAAAAGTTCTTCAAAATAACAAATGTAGAAATCAAAGATGCAAGCGTGGAACATTCTCCATCGATTTGAGAACACACGTCAAAGAAAGAAAGGAAGGGAGAATATGAGGACACGCGTTATGAAAGAAGGAACGGAGAAGATGAATTATGGATTTACCATCCGAATGTTCGACGAATCCTTCTCTTATCAAGAATGAAAATGATAACTAAGCATATTTTTCTTAGAAAAATCAGATGAAGTTTACATTAATGTATTCCTCAATTGGTACCCCAAAAAAGATTTTCTCATTGTTCAACTCAATTATGCATAAATCAGATTTTTGTGATATTTCAGTTCTACTCATTTCCAGTAACATAACACAATCTAACCTTGTTAAATTATATACTTTATTGATAGTCTCATAAGTTTTTAAGGTTATAAATATTCTGGGGGAAGATATACGGGTAATAAATGCATTATGTATTTGTTCAACTAAAGTCGGAACTTCTGATAATCTAGTAACTTAGACAATGCACAATCCATATGTTGTCTAAAAAAAAGAACAAGAATCGTTCCATTTTTTATTCTGCAGTTCAAGAAAATAAAACTACTAAGTTCATCTCGATTTATTTGACAGAACTCTTACTTTTATCCATTCAATTGAATGACTTCATCAAATAAGAAATTTGAGGACCACAACTAATACTTGCAGGAGGGTCGTGTTGTAACCTCTTGAAATCACACATCACTCTCTTCCTTGAAGGAGTTGACATTTTAACTGCTGGCACATTATTATGGCAGAATCAAAACAAGCAAACAGTTGTAAGAAGCATCACTTTCTTCATTTGTTATAATAAAAGAGGCGCATAACTCAAAGTAAAAAATCAACCAAAAGAACGACACTAATGAGTTAATTAATTTGATCCTAAATTTGTCAGCTCAAAATTTAGCATACTACACTATGAAAACAGAGATGGACTAATTATGGAGATATTCACTAACAAAGTGAAAGGTAAAAACCCTTTCAAAGAGTAACGAACACTAATTCATCCTTATTTTGTGTAACGACCTGTTTAGTCGTTTTAAGCAACAGATTTTATTTTTGGAAAAACTATCTGAGTCGACGGAATCCACGACGGACCGTCATGGGCACGACGGGCCGTCGAGGGGTTCTCGTTCCAAAACACTTAGAATTCTGAAATTTGGGTACTGAAATCGACTCTCTGAACTTTGTGATGACATGGCAGGACGAACCGTCGTGGGCACGACGGAACATCACAGACCCTTTAGTGGAATTGAGTCTCTGAACTCTGTGACGGAATAGCAGGACGGACCGTCGCAGGCACGACGGGCCGTCACAGGCTGCGATTACCCAGGCTGGGTCGGATTTCTGTTAAGTAATTTAAGGGGCGTTCTAGACTATTCCTACTTTAATTATAAAGTTAGTGGGTTAATGTTAATAAGTCTAATTACTTGGGGGTTAAAAGAGGTAACCTTGAGTTAATTAGTGGGTTATTATTGCCATCTTTCATACTTAATTATATGCTAATTAGGGTAAAAGAAATAGGGTTTGAATAAGAAAAATAGAAAGAACAAAGAGAGAGAGAGGATCGAACGAGAAGGAGGAGAAACGAAGAGGAAACAAAGCCTTGGGAAATTGCTTGCTTGATCAAAATTCTTCGGTGGAGGTAGGTTATGGTTTTTATGCTATTAGTAGTAAACTCTTAATAGCGAATGATATGTATTGGGTAGTATTGTGAACCCTTCTATATGTTTAATTGTATGCTTGTATGAATGTGATTATATAATTGTGATAAAATAAGCATGATGAAGCTATTGAATCCCAAATCTTGAAAACCCCTTGTTAATGATGATGCCTTGGTATAAAAGAAGGCTTGATGAACTAAAGTAATGAGATTGATGATGCCTTGGTATAAAAGAAGGCTTGATGAACTGAAGTAATGGGGTTGATGATGCCTTGGTATAAAAGAAGGATTGATGAATTAATAGAATGAGATTAGTGGAGCGGGTGTCACGAACCGACACGTAGTATTAGGGGGACCGGGTGTCACGAACCGACACCTAGTATTAGGGGGACCGGGTGTCACGAACCGACACGTAGAATTAGGGGATCCGGTGTCACGAACCGACATGTAGAATTAGGGGATCGGGTGTCACGAACCGACACGTAGAATTAGGGGATCGTGTGTCACGAACTGATACATAGAATTAGGGGATCGGAGTGTCACGTACCGACACATAGTAGTAGGGGAGCGGAGTGTCACGTACCGACACAAGAGGAATAAAGATAATGAATCTTGAAAGATGTTAATATGCTCAATCTAATGAACCTAATTCCCAAATGACTATGGTATTGAGGCTTGAGTCCTCATGTGTGAACTTGGCGGTACTTGTTAATGATTATAGTACTTGTTGTTGTTACATGTTGAATATTGTAGTTGATTTATGATATTATCTGATATATACTATTTTCTAAATACCTACTCAGTACCCGTGTTTTGTACTGACCCCTACTTGTATTTGTTTTCTTTGTTATTTGTGGAGTGCAGCAAACGTACCGTCGTCTTCAACTCAACCGCAACTCTAGCCAGTCTTCATTACACCGGATTTCAGGGTGAGCTAATGCTTCTAGCTTGGACTGGATCTTCTTCCTTATGTCTTGATGCCTTGAAGTTCCGGCATGGACTAGCTTTTGTTTATTTTAGCTTCTTAGAATACTCTTAGTTTAGTAATTTGATCATAGATGTTCTTGTGGTGATGACTTCCAGATTTTGGGGAATAATAGATGTTGAATTTTAGAAGTTATTGAATTGGTTTTTATTAATGAGTTTAAGTCTTCCGCATTACTTTCTGTTGATATTAAATTGAAATGTTAGGGTTTAGATTGGTTGGTTCGCTCACATAGGAGGGTAAGTGTGGGTG